ATGGGTACTGTTGTTTCATGATGCATTTTTGGTACTGTACTATAACTGAGGCTGGATAGAGTATAGTGTGCACAACATCTTAATTTGACCAATCATATCTGCTGTTTATTAAAAAAATGATGTCATAAAAGATGTGACGTGTTATTTACAACACTAAGTATTTATGTAATATAATGGACCGTTTCTTGCAACACAATTTGGTTTTATTACTGAAGTCCAAATTACAGTTTCTGCTTTTAAGTCCTCTCAAATGGGAAAACTTAATGTATCTTGGGCCATCATGCAAATGGGAACAAGTCTTGTGTTGATGTGGAGAACACCACGGTGCCACAAATGAATTTCAATTAATTTCAGAGGGAAGATGTGAGGTTTTACACAGCGGTCCACCCACTGAGATCTGGCCTTGTCACTCGTAATGAGCAGAGTGATTCGGCACTGATTGGAGCCAGCCTACTGCTTGAGTGGGGTAATCACAACTGTGTTGATATTACTCCACCCGTCCTCCCGCTGTGCAGAGTGGAACCCCAGCTGACAGTGTTTGAATTCAAATTAACCAAATCAGTTGGCCATACTGTCGACCTTGGCGTGGAATGCAACCAGCAGGACAAGAGACAAATTCATCACATTTCTTATCATTTGATCAGGAAGCATCAGCACATTATTATTCATATACTGTAGCTGACTGCCATTATTGCGTGAGTTAATGTAGTGTTAAATATGGGTTCGGCTCACTACAAGGTGAAGCATTTAAATATATAGATTTTTTTTTTAAACAACTTTCTGTTTTAATCGTCACTTCACATGATCTCAATGTGATTTGCTTGATTGAATAAAGGTTAATAAATAAAATAAAAATAAATTCACAGAAAAACACTTCAAAGAAGATTTATGAATCATTTAGTGACCCTCACAGAAACTGAAGATTGCATCCAGCTGAATGGATCGGACAAAATGAACGTAGACTGACAAGACAATCAGTTAAAGTTAATTAAATTAAATAAAGTGTAAAATATTTAATTAAAACAAAAACATTTTTGCAAAGGAGGTGTAATAATTTTGTCACTCTGAAGTGGGAGAGAAAACTCACTTCTTTAAAAAGTCTTCAGTTGATCCAAAATGCTGCTGCCAGAGTCTTACCTGGAGCTAGTAGGAGAGATCATATCTCTCCAGTTTTAACTTTTCTCCATTGACTCCCTGTTAAGTCCAGAAATGAATTCAAAATCTTACTTCTAAC